TCATCAATCCCAATATAATTAATATTATAAAATTCATATATTTACCCCAACATATTTACTACCTATAATTATGTACTAATAATAATCAAGAGAAATGAAAAGAAACAAAGAAGAGATAATTCCTGAAGGCCCATTAGTATTGGGCCTTATTTTGGAAACAGTCCATATCCCAAAAGCCCACGCCAATTTTCTATGCATATACACATGTATACAAAAACTTTAGTCGTCAAATTTCCTAACATTTTGCAAGGTAGAAAAATTAAAATGTAGAAACCACTTTTAACATTTTGTAATCTTGAATCATGGAGTTGTGGAAAATCGAAAACAATAACCTAATCAAAATTTAAGCTTTACACTTTGCCTTCAAATAATTCGCCTTATCATGCTTTAACCCGAATTAAGGACTTTCAACGAACAGTTGGTGGGCCTCTGAAACTTTCAATTTGATTACAAAAATATAATCTTTTGAAACAATTATTGACGATTAAGACGCTGAATCTTAGTTTGGGTGATCAAAGTTCCTATGTAAGCAATTCTGGGGTATATATGTTATAGATAAAACTATCGGGTATATCTATTCAATAAACAAGAGTACATGGTCTAAATGTAATAAAAGAGACGATAGGGAACATTTTGTAATAACAAAAACTATCAGGTATAAATATGTAAATTAACTTTTATTCGGACACTGTTTTCTGAAAACCTTGCGATCATCATCACGCAAATAAAGACCATCGTCGAAGTTCTGCGAATAACTCACAGCATCGTAATGAAACTTCATTAACGTCTTCGGTTTCGTGTTCTCGAATACGCAACTTCTAACAAGTAACAATCTTCTTATCAGATTCCTTAAACTTGGACTTGATCTTGTCTTCTTGCTGTGGTTAGTAGTACTGATTCGAGCGTATTCTGTTTCTGTGTGGAACAGTGAGAGACAAGACGACGGCGAACCGAAGCATCCACCGGTAAAGTTCGACGGTTTACGGTGTTTGGCGAGAGTCAGATCTGTTTCCATTTCTACTCTCTAGGGAAGAAAAAAAAAAATAGTTTGGTTTATTGAGAAGAGTGGAAATTTGGGGTTTATTATAGTCTAACACAAGTAAATGAATTACCAAAAAAATGTAGAGTTTTGTTTGGATGGATATGTTTTAGCGGTCCAATCATAATTTCTTGTTTTATGGAGCATTCATTGTATTGAAACTTGATAGTTTTTGTTAGTCAACATTTTATTGTTGTGATAGTATCTATCTTCTTCATTTGGATTTGGTAATAAAATGTTGAAGTTAGAAAAATGTGATTAGTTATAGAATTTTTTATTTTATTTTTTATTATCAACTATGAAGAAAAAATACGTAATTGTGATTTTAGGTTCCACTATAAATTGTGATTTTTATTATTTGACAAAGATGTTGATTGAAATTATTGTGGAGGATCTTTGTCGTATTTAGGGCACAAGAACAGAGAAATCTAGCTTATATTGAACGTGTCTTGTTTGCTTTTGGATCCTCTCGTCGAACAAGTAATTGCGTAATCATCTATATATGTATGACTTGTGAACTTGTGAGCCACAATTACTTTTACACTCTCTACATAGGAGCCAAAAGTGAGAAAAAAGGACCCAAACAAAAAAAATGAAGAATAAATAAAAAACGCTAGAAGGAGGGGTCGAACCTCCGACCTTGTGGTTAACAGCCACACGCTCTAACCAACTGAGCTATTCCAGCTTTTGTTTCCTCTTAAGGGAGTAACATATATATATTAAAGTATTAAGGTTTCAACTCTTGAAATATCAATGCTTATTTAGAAAACTAAATTTCTTCTTATATCAAAAGATATTCATTCTTGATCTTTAGCTAGAGAACTTCGAAAGAGGTGCATATTTTTATCTAATTTCCTCTTATCATCACAAGATTTTCAATTTGAATATTTAGCCAAAAAGTTCCC